ATCAGCTTCCCAAGAACTAGAGACAAGACCTTAAGTAAGTTAAGGGCCTTAGAGTATTTAACTCAGAGGTAGGAGGCACGGGGCAACCAAGCCAAACGTGTGTCAAAAATGAGCCCCAAAGGCTTAGAAGAATCTGTACGAAAGGGGATGGCCATATAGCGACAGAGGGGAACAGAGAATGACCTGCTTCCGAGTAAAAGTCATGGCACAAGTTTAAGTTGTCGAGAACTTGAAGCCATGAACAGTGGTTCAAGACAATATGGCATCAATCTCAAGTTGAAGCCCCATTTGAAGGAAAGGTAAATCATCACCTTGACAGCAGAGGGTAAGATCGTCGACATAGAGAGCAGAGAAGATGCCAGAAGGAAGGGAAGAAATAAGACCATTCAGAGCAACCAGGAAAAGAGTAGTGCTGAGGACACTAAATTGGGGTACACCTTCGTATTGCTGAAAAGAGGCAGAGAGAGCGGTACCAAGCCTTACTCTAAAGGAACAACTAAAGAGGAAGCTTTGATGGAAGAGAGGGAGCTTCCACAAAGGCCAAAAGCACGAAGTTGGGACAGAACATGGTGTCTCCAGGTCTCATGGTGTCTTAACACACACTGGTGTGTGTTAGTGTCACCCCTCTGCCCCCCCCCCAAACCCTCAAGTGTGTACCATCATCCAACCCACAAGTTGAGAGGTGCCTGGCTCCCCCCCCCCCTCCCTCCTGCCCCGCCAAACCGCGACCGCCACCTCAAGTGCAGGTCGGTCTAGCCCTGGCACTTTACCTCATCCGGAAAACCCTTCCTCTCACCCCCACTAATACTTCCCCTATCCCCACTTCCCCACTCACCCAAAAGGGTATCTTGACTTATATTTAATTCATTCATTCATCCACCACCTCCCTGTGTCCACCCCCACGATTCGTCCGCCCAGCGCCCACCCAGCATCCACCCAGCACCCACCCAGCACTTGCCCAGCACCCACCCAGCACTTGCCCAGCACCCACCCAGCGCCTGCCCAGCATCCACCCAGCACCTACCCAGCGCCTGCCTAGCGTCCACCCAACATCCGCCCAGCGCCCACTCAGTGCCTGCCCAGCGTCCGCCCAGTGTCCACCCAACACCCCCCCAGCACCTACTCAGCGTCCAGCCAGCATCCAACCAACACCCGCCCAGCGCCAACCCAGTGCCCACCCAGCATCCGCCCAACGCCCACCCAGCGCCCGCCGACGTTGCAGGTCACAACTGACAGCCAGGCTCCTCTCAGCCAAGAGGAGCCATCAATCAGCGTCAAGTACAGCACATGCCAAGAGTGTGACAAGATGTGTCATCTCAAGAATAACGGGGATGTGCGCAAACATAACTAGAACGGAACTGAATGTCCGGGTATATGGCGCCCTCTCAAAGAGAGTATCAATCAACGTCCCACACCAGCAGTCGGGGAAAACACCTCCAACAGCTTCATTTCGACAGAGAACCTACTAGAAGCCATCAAAGCGACATTGGATGAAACCTTGCAGCACATTCCCAAAGCTGCTCACTCGCAAGCAGCAGCCAAACTATGAAGCCTCTTGAAAAAGGCTAATGACTCTCCCGGAACCATCCAAGTATGGCAAAACCTTCTCCTGTTTGGTAACATATGCCTAGCTGTCCCTGCAAGGAGAGACAAATCACTACCTTCCTCAGTCATTAGGGCTATAAATAGTTTTCCTAGAGAGGACAACCAGGCACCCCTCCCCACCCGTGCCAAAAACACGCACCGCAGGAAAGGTATTAACAACAGAACCGAGGCATCCATAATCAGAGCAACAGTCAGCAAGAAAATAGAAGAAGGCAAGACAGTCGGAGCGATCAGAGTCATCACCAGTGAGGACACAGTTGCCACCAGGGATGCCAAAACACCACAAGCCCTGAGAGAAAAACACCCACCCAGAGCTCCATGTGATGACAGTATTCCACTAGTCGGTGTCACCAGAGCAGAACCCCAGTGAGTGGTCGAATCCATGGTGCATAAAGCAGCTTTATCCTCCCCACCAGGATCAGCAGGCGGGTTCACAGGACTAAGACCCAATCAAACAAATGCTCAACCCTGCACTGGGAGACATTGCACAGAGCCTCCTGGTGGAACTAACTAGATTCTCCAACACATGTCTAGCTGGCAACATACCAGAGACCATACGGCCTCTCATTTTTGACGCTACCCTCTGTGCCCCGAGGAAAAAGGATAGAGGAATCAGACCGATTGCTGTGGGCAATTCACTCTGGCGCTTCGTCTTTAAGGCTGCTGCTAGAACAGTTAGCCAGGCAGCAACAGACATGCTGAAGCTAAAACAGCTTGGGTTTGGCATTCCCCAAGGGTGTGAGGCAGTGGCTCATGCAGCTAGAGCCTACATTGCCAACATTACAGATGAAAAAGCCCTGATAAAACTGGATTTCTAAAATGCCTTCAATCTGGTAGGAAGGGATGCAGTACTCAGTGCGGTTCATCGCCTTTTTCCTTCCCTCTACCCGTTTGTAAACTCATGTTACAGCAAGAATCTAACTGTTATTCGAGGAACATGAAATTGAATCACAAGAAGGTGTCCAACAGGGTGACCCCCTTGCTCCTTTTCTTTTCTGCCTAGTCATCAAGGAAGTCACTGATACCCTGTCCAGCAAGTTAAGTTGTAACGAGGTTGGGTGAATTCAACATTTGGTTTTTGGACGATGGTACTCTAGCTGGCTCTCCAGACTCCCTCCTGGATGACATAAGAATAATTCAGGAGCAAGGAGCAAGTCTAGGCCTCACCCTGAACTCTTCCAAGTGCGAAATAACTTCCACCAACCAGCACATAATAGAGCGAATAAACGTTATTTTGCCTGATATTCATATAACCAACCCTGTGGACAGCACACTTCTAGGAGCTCCTCTTGGAGGGAATGCCATCGACGAGGTCCTTGGTAAGAGGATCTCTCACCTGAAGAGGATGAATGAGAGGATTGAAGACATCGATGCTCATGATGCACTTTACCTCATCACCAGATGCTTGTCCCTCCCCAGCCTGACCTACTTTCTTAAATGTTCGACATCTTTTAAAAATATTAAATTAGAAGAGTACAACAACATGCTGAAATCAATGCTAGAAAAAGCCCTCAACCTCTCTATCAGTGACCCACAGTGGAAACAGGCCTCCCTTCCTGTCAGACTCGAAGGGCCTCGGCGTTCACACAGCAACACAAATTGCTGTACCAGCATTCCTGTCCTCTTCAGTGGTGTCTGACAACCTGGTGAAGGAAATCCTACCTGAGTACCTAGGTCAACAGGCCGGGGTACATGATCCCAGCTTTACAGACTGCACCGCCAAATGGGTATCTCTTGCAGGACCAGCACCCCAACCACCGCTTTCTGAAGCCCATAAGCAATCCAGCTGGGATCGCCCTATTGCTGACCAAGAAGCTGCGACATTGCTAGAAGCTGCGACAGCACCACATGACACTGCCCGACTTAGAGCTGTAGCAGCTCCCCATGCAGGTGACTTCCTCTTAGCAACCCTAATGTCAGCAACCAGCACTCGTCTCACACTGCAGGCCCTCCAAATTGCTGTGGCTCTCCACCTCGCTGCCCCAATCCACACCGAATACAGGTGTATTTGCACCAAGGCAGTGGCCGACAGGTACGGACAGCATGGCCTTCTCTGCCAAAGGACAGGAGGATGGCATGCAAGATACGGCGAGGTTAACGACATTATTAAGAGAAGCCTTACCTCAGCCGGTTGTCCAGCAGAGAGAGAGCCTCGTTACCGAATGCCTCGCAATTCTGATGAGCCTGTCGGTCGCCCAGACGGGATGACAGTGAACCCCCCTGGAAGAATGGTAGACAGTTGGTGTGGGACTACACTTGCGTTTCAACTTTAGCCAGCACCTATGTTGACTTCAGTGCTGCACAGGCAGGAGGTACTACCAATCACCGGGAAGCAGCCAAGTCACATAAATACAGAGGCCTTGATCACCACTACAATTTTGTCCCCATTGCCTCAGAGACACTTGGTGCCTGGGGTAAAAGTGCTGCTAGTTTTTTGAAGGAGCTGGGGTCCAAGCTAATTGAAACTACTAGAGACCCCTAGAGCTGCCAGTTTTCTCTTTCTGCGCCTTAGTGTGGGAATACAGAGAGAAAATGCTCACTGCATCCATGGTTCCTGCCCGCCATCTGAGGAGCTGGAGGAACTACACAATTTGTGACAAGTAGTCTTGTACCCTGCATGTAACCTTTTTTGTGTAATGAAATTTAAAAATAAAGTTAGATATATATACACACATACTAAAAGAATGGGGGTGGTTATCTTGAGATGATTTCGGGGCTTTTTTAGTGTCCCCGCGGCCCGGTCCTCGACCAGGCCTCCACCCCCAGGAAGCAGACCGTGACAGCTGACTAACACCCAGGTACCTATTTACTGCTAGGTAACAGGGGCATAGGGTGAAAGAAACTCTGCCCATTGTTACTCGCCGGCGCCCGGGATCGACCCCGGGACCACAAGATCACAAGTCCAGCGTGCTGTCCACTCGGCCGACCGGCTCCCCTAGGAGTGGTAGGAGAAGAAAATATCAAAGTGTTCAGTGAGGAACCACAAGGTCTTCTCTGAGTACTCTTTATTTTCATCTTCGAGGCTATGGGTCCGTACACTTGCACCAGAGGTGGTACCCCTTTTAGGTATGTAAAATATATATATATATATATATATATATATATATATATATATATATATATATATATATATATATATATATATATATATATATATATATATATATATATATATATATATATATATATATATATATATATATATATATATATATAGTTACAAACATAATGTAGGATTTATAGATAGAGCTAGTACATACAATACCTAAAGCCACTAATACGCTTATATATATTTTGTGTGTGTGTGTTTTGTTGTGCTTTATTAGATAATTAATATAATCATTTGATGGGTAAGTGCCTGTACGTAGAAGTGTTATAATGTTGGTGTTAATGGACAGATGGGGGTGGCGGAGGAAGCGGCACTAGCAGCGGAGGGAGCGGCTCCCGGGAGGTCCACAAGAACGGCTGGCTCAAGCGGATGCCCACCCAGGAGCGTCGACTCTCAGTCATGGCACCCTTCGCTAAGGTCAGTCATTCAGGCTCCTTGTGTTTCACAGTCCGTGTGGGCCAGGGTCCGTGTGGGCCAGGGTCCATGTGGGCCAGGGTCCGTGTGGGCCAGGGTCTGTGTGGTCCAGGGTCCGTATGGTCCAGGGTCCGTGTGGTCCAGGGTCCGTATGGTCCAGGGTCCGTGTGGTCCAGGGTCCGTATGGTCCAGGGTCCGTGTGGGCCAGGGTCCGTGTGGGCCAGGGTCCGTGTGGTCCAGGGTCCGTATGGTCCAGGGTCCGTGTGGGCCAGGGTCCATGTGGGCCAGGGTCCGTGTGGTCCAGGGTCCGTGTGGGCCAGGGTCCATGTGGGCCAGGGTCCGTGTGGTCCAGGGTCCGTATGGTCCAGGGTCCGTGTGGTCCAGGGTCCGTATGGTCCAGGGTCCGTGTGGTCCAGGGTCCGTGTGGTCCAGGGTCCGTGTGGGCCAGGGTCCGTGTGGTCTAGAGTCTGTGTGGTCCAGATTCCGTGTGGTCCAGAGTCCGTGTGGTCCATGGTCCGTGTGGTTCAGGGTCCGTGTGGTTCAGGGTTCGTGTGGTCCAGGGTCCGTGTGGTTCAGGGTCCGTGTGGTCCAGGGTCCGTGTGGTCCAGGGTCCGTGTGGTTCAGGGCCCGTGTGGTCCAGGGTCCGTGTGGTTCAGGGTCCGTGTGGTACAGGGTCCGTGTGGTCCAGGGTCCGTGTGGTCTAGAGTCCGTGTGGTCCAGGGTCCGTGTGGTCCAGGGTCGATGTGGTCCGTAAACTAATCCCTACTCTAACACTGGCAAATGTTAAGTAATTTAGACATGGAAAAATACCGTCAGGGATCATACATTACCTTAAGACCACTGCCTCTCTATCGGTGGATTTGCTCTGTCTTCCCCTGGCTGTGTGATGTTCTTCATAGACCTGCTCTGGTATCCAGCACACTCTCTCTCTAACTTCCCTACAGGACATATATACACACACGCCCCCCAAAACTGCCACACTCTCTATCAGCTGAGAAAGAGTGGGTGGGGAGATTCGTTGTTGCTAACCTACATTGAGGCTGCCCACATGTGCACAAACACTCGAGAATTTTCAATTAAGATATTTGACAGCCACCATATAGCTCTTTAATGATGGGAATTATTAAGTATGGGATGGCGGGTGCAAGAGAGAAGGAACATTTTCCTCACCCGAATGCTTACACAGCCAACAGTGCCAACAGTGCCAACAGTGCCAACAACATCAAGGGGTAGATTCCTGGGTGTTTACACATAAGGATCTGGGGGTCTAATTACATTACAATGTTTGACGAGATGATCAAGAAATAACATCTACTTGAAACTAGCTGGCTAAGACTAGCCCAGGAATTTTTAATCAACTTTGCAAGACGATCCAGAGGTCATCTGGGCTGACCTCTTGGAGAAGGCTTCCCTGGGTGTGAACTCGGGGGGGGGGGGTTATGGGGGGTCTATAGGGGGGTCATGGGTGGTCTAGGGGGGGGGGGTCGTGGGTGTTACAGTGTGGTCCAGAGTCCGTGTGGTCCAGTGTCCGTGTGGTCCAGAGTCTGTGTGGTCCAGTGTCCGTGTGGTCCAGGGTCTGTGTGGTCCAGTGTCCGTGTGGTCCAGAGTCCGTGTGGTCCAGTGTCCGTGTGGTCCAGGGTCTGTGTGGTTCAGAGTCCCCACTCTGAAGGTGAAGGGACGACGACGTTTCGGTCCGTCCTGGACCGGACTCAATCTCAAGTCGATTGTGGACCATTCACAATCGACTTGAGAATGGTCCAGGACGGACCGAAACGTCGTCGTCCCTTCACCTTCTAGTGTGTGGTCTGGTCAACATACTTCAGCCACATTATTGGGACTCATCGTCTTCATACCCCATTCCCCGTAACTCTGGGACGAACCTCGTCGCAAACTTCTGAACATTTTCCAGTTTCCTTATGTGTTTCTTCAGGTGGGGACTTTATGATGGTGCGGTATACTCTAAGACTGGTTTCACGTAAGTAGTGTAAAGTGCCCTAAATGCCTCCTTACTTAGGGTTCTGAATGATGTTCTAACTTTTGCCAGTGCTGCTGTCGATATCCTATTTACATGTGCCTCAGGAGTTACATTAGGTGTTATGTCCACTCCCAGGTCTCTCTCGAATCGTCACAGGTAGGCAGTTCCCCTTCATTGTGTACTGTCGTTTTGGTCTCCTATTACCTAATCCCGTTTCCATAACTTTATATTTGCTTGTGTCCAGTAGCCATTTCTCTGACCATCTCTGCAACCTGTTCAAGTCCTCTTGGAGCACCATACAATCCTCATCTGTCAAAACTGTTCTCATTAATTTTTCGTCCGTATGGTCCAGGGTCCGTGTGGTCCAGGGCCCGTGTGGTCCAGGGTCCGTGTGGTCCAGGGTCCGTGTGGTCCAGGGTCCGTGTGGTCCAGGGCCCGTGTGGTCCAGGGCCCGTGTGGTCCAGGGCCCGTGTGGTCCAGGGTCCGTGTGGTCCAGGGTCCGTGTGGTCCAGGGTCCGTGTGGCCCAAGGTCTGGACTGTGATCCAGCGTCCTTGTAAGGTGTCATTGGCCAACACCGCAGTTAACATTTGTAATGGAGTCGATCTTACCTTCACCAATTTCTAACACTCATAATTATCCTTAACATCCAATATATATATATACCAGCTGGAGACAAAGTCCGGTCCACCCTGGCAGTGGAGACCCGTCAGCCGGTTACATGTGAGTTCACCCAACCCAACATACACCTATAACAATGTTATCTACCAAAGGATAATTATATGAGACCACTAATTGACGTTAATTGCTGCCTCAATCCTCACTTTTACCGCCTAGAGTCTACTAACACTTTCGTCCTCTCGTGAGGGACAAGTCAAGGACATTTGAAACCAACAACTTAGAAAGCTTACTCTTGATAATTACTAAGATTAATTATGAGTTATCGATTACTGTACCTGTTGATAATTACACGTGTTCGTTTTTTTAATTAAAGTTATTAATAATTATTATTCTTTATTAATTATTAATATAATTATTAATGATGACAATAAGAGGAAACACAGGTTGACATGTAGGGGTGTGAAGAGCAGAGTAAGGGTGGTTACATGCAGGAAATTAGGGAGGTTTTAATTTATATTTTAGACTGGTTAAGGGAACAAAAGTCAGCGTCATTAAGGGAGGTTATATCATAGTTTGAGATCATTGACTTGCACAGAACTTTCTCTTTGGTTAAAGTCGTTCTCTTGGAGATTCTTAAAGACAATTATTTCTCGTGATGCTCATCTGTTCTATTATAGCCTGGTCGAGGACCGGGCCGCGGGGACGCTAAACGCCCCGGAACCATGTTAAGGTAACCATCTCAAGGAATAGCCCCTCTAACAAGCCCTTAAAGTCAGCATTAGCATTACAGTACAAGGTTGTATAGAGGTATAGAGGTACTCAACATATTTAATGGTTTCAGTAAGGCAGATGAGTGGTGTCTGGGAGAGTAGTTGGTTATTGTTCTAATGTGTGCTCGGTATGATGTGTAATTGGTGGTTACACACCTGCCACCTCCTCACATCTGCCTCAACCTGGCCGTCCCACCAGCCGGACTTGGTTACACACCTGCCACCTCCTCACATCTGCCTCAACCTGGCCGTCCCACCAGACGGACTTGGTTACACACCTGTCACTACCCGTGACCAGGATGCCACCATCTGTACTCTACACCTCAACACGCAGCTCTTCTGTCACGACGCTGTCATATGTGACAACCACCACTGTCACGAGGCTGTCATATGTGACAACCACCACTGTCACGAGGCTGTCATATGTGACAACCACCACTGTCACGAGGCTGTCATATGTGACAACCACCACTGTCACGAGGCTGTCATATGCAACAACCACCACTGTCACGACGCTGTCATATGCAACAACCACCACTGTCACGACGCTGTCATATGCAACAACCACCACTGTCACGACGCTGTCATATGTGACAACCACTTCACGAGGCTGTCATATGCAACAACCACCACTGTCACGACGCTGTCATATGCAACAACCACCACTGTCACGAGGCTGTCATATGTGACAACCACCACTGTCACGACGCTGTCATATGCAACAACCACCACTGTCACGAGGCTGTCATATGTGACAACCACCACTGTCACGAGGCTGTCATATGTGACAACCACCACTGTCACGACGCTGTCATATGTGACAACCACCACTGTCACGACGCTGTCATATGTGACAACCACCACTGTCACGAGGCTGTCATATGTGACAACCACCACTGTCACGACGCTGTCATATGCAACAACCACCACTGTCACGAGGCTGTCATATGTGACAACCACTTCACGAGGCTGTCATATGCAACAACCACCACTGTCACGACGCTGTCATATGCAACAACCACCACTGTCACGAGGCTGTCATATGTGACAACCACCACTGTCACGACGCTGTCATATGCAACAACCACCACTGTCACGAGGCTGTCATATGTGACAACCACCACTGTCACGAGGCTGTCATATGCAACAACCACCACTGTCACGAGGCTGTCATATGTGACAACCACCACTGTCACGAGGCTGTCATATGCAACAACCACCACTGTCACGAGGCTGTCATATGTGACAACCACCACTGTCACGACGCTGTCATATGGAACACCCACCACTGTCACGACGCTGTCATATGCAACAACCACCACTGTCACGACGCTGTCATATGGAACACCCACCACTGTCACGACGCTGTCATATGGAACACCCACCACTGTCACGACGCTGTCATATGGAACACCCACCACTGTCACGACGCTGTCATATGGAACAACCACCACTGTCACGACGCTGTCATATGGAACACCCACCACCATAACACTATATATAGTGTTGATATCTTTTTTGTGTGTATTTACTTTGGTGTGTGTGAGGGTATATGAGAGTTTAGAGAAGTGTGGCGTGTAGTGAAGGCACGTAGTGTGCAGTGGTGACCCAGAGAGTGAGTGACACAACACGTAGTCCT